TTATAACTATAAGTTGCAACTATAATAAATTTTATAAAGTTGCAACTTATATAATTTAATTGCAGTTACCAACTTTAGTTCTGATCATGATTTATGGGCATAGATTGACTTGTTAAGGGATGATTGTTTTAGTTTGTGATATTGATAGGAGAAGTTGAATCATAGGTAACTATAGATTTAGTACCTTTAGTTTTGTTTGCAAAAGATTTTGGATTGTTAGAATTGAACATTATATTTTGATCATAAATAAAGGTAACTTTGGGACGTGATACAGGTGCTGAGTAATTTTTAAATTGTGCAAGTTTGAATCTTTGATATAAGTTTTGAGTTTGTTTATATTTTAGGTGGGTTTTCTTTTCCTGCAATTATGTGAGTCATATCCTGGAATGGAACAGTAAACGCATAAGTTGGTGTCTGACGCAGTCCATATAAGTTTTCGATTGTTAAAATTGATCAGGTTTCCATTTTTTGCAACCTCTATATTCTCTTTACTGCAGAAGTGCATAAAGGCATATTGAAGGTTCCTGTAGTTTAATCTGGCTTTAAGAATCACCCAGGTGGTTGCATTAATGGCCTTTCTAATTGGTTCTAATTCTCAACCTGTTGTGTCTTTTGGAAGATTAGTAAGTTTTAGAGTGAATTGGGATCTAGCTTTAATTTCATCATTAGGTAGCGAGCACACACGTACTCTAACCATATCTTTTAAAACAAAGATGCCAGTACGCATGTCAGAAAATAATAGATCTGCCTCAGGTGTATACGAGATGGTTGCTTATTGCCAAAGTTTTTTGTCATTATAGAGCACTTGATGATCGTGCTAAATCGGGCAAATATTAATCAGATAATCTGTTCAGAAGTGAAAATAGAGATTTCAGTTATCTTGATCGACAAATTTGGGTCAAACTTGAATGAGGCTGGTATAACAAAGGGTTTAAATGTGACTGTTTCTATATTAGGAATTTTAGCAGCAATAGCATGATTTGCATCTTCATGTGTTGTAAATCCTAATTGAATAATTTTCAACATTTTGTTTTAGAATCCTGCTTCACTGATGCATCAATGAATAAGGTATTCTGCGCTATTGAATAATTTGCAAGCTCTGTTGGTCTTTTCACAAAAGGATTTATTAGAAAGGAATGTTTCTGCAGCATAGTAAACATAAAAGGTGGTTGCGTCTCTAACTCTTTTAAATGTAATAGTATCTTTGTTGATATCTTTATCATTTAGCATATTTTCAGATGCATCAAAAGCCTGATCTTTGTCTATACTATAGTGTTGTTATCACCAGAAGGCATCGTTTCACTATCCTTTGGTTTTGGATAAGTAAGGTGCTGGTGGTAAAGGTTTCTTGTGTATTTTTATAGTCAGGAAACTAAGGGCCTTTGCCGTATTTGAAGGTTATTTAGCTTTAACTACAGACCCCGCCAAAAGTCTCTGAAACCTTTTAGCTCAATATAAAACTCAAAATTTTAAAGTTTATTGAAAAAAAAGTTTATTAATATATTTATTAATGTATGATATACTATACATTTTGTACTAAGTAATTAGTATTTGGTCAGGCCTCCATTTGCTTCAATTATAGCCTAAATTCGTTACAGCATACTATCAACCAAATTTTCAATAGTATTTATAGGAATTTCTTGTCATACCTTCTTAATGTATTGGTCAAGTTCAGCAAGATTTGAAGGTTTTTTTTTCCTTTCACGAATGCTTTTTTTGACATCAGCCTACAGATTCTCAATTGGATTAAGGTCTGGACTTTGAGCTGACCATAGAAGTACGCACAGATTATTTTCCACATGAAATTTCTTTGCAAGTTTCATTTTATGGGAGCGAGCATTATCCTCCTGGAATATACCATTACCATTTGGAAATGCACGTCTCATAGTTGGCATAACGTGCTTGTTAAGGATGATAATATGTGAAACACCATTTGCTATTCCAAATAATGGAACAATGGGTCTCAAACCTTGTTTTGAAAAGCATCCCTAAAACATTCAGCCAGGGCTGTGTTTCACTGTAGCAGAAATATAAGAAATGTTCCACTTTTCCTGAGGTTCCTGTCACACTCGACTATATCAGCTTTGTTAGAATGAGAAAAGGTTGATTCGTTACTCCACATGACTTTCGACCAATCATCCTTTGTCCAGCTTTGGTGATCCAAACACCATGCAAGATGTGCTTCCATATTTGCTAGTGAGATTAGAAGTTTTCGTCGAGCAAGACAATTGTTTAGCCCAACTGCACGAAGTATCCAGCCAATAGTGTGAGCTGAAACATCTTAGCCGGTCTTTTTTTCCAAAGTTGTTGAACTTCTGCAATGCATAAGTAACGATTTTTTCCTTTATCATTAGTTACAAGTCGCTTAAGTCAGTTTTGTTGTGAAGGTTCAATAAGAGGTGGTCGACAGGAACGAGGCTTTGAATTAGTGGTTTTGGTGTCATCTATCCTTTTTAAAGTGTCAAATACTGTTGACACTCCATAACTGACAGTCTCAAAAATAGTTTGGTAACTATCACTACTTTGACGGCAAAAAATATAGTGCCGCATTATTCTGCTGTTAATTCTTGGGTCATTTTCGTTGTTTTTAGAAGATTAAAGTTTATTTTGATTTAAAATCAAAATAAACAAACCAAACGCGCATTTATTAGGTTTGACTTATGTAAACAAAGTCCGAAACGTTATATGACCGCAGTATTATAAAGTCACATAACATTATCCGTATGAAATCGCACCTAAAAAATGGTGTTCAGAGACTTTTGACAGGTTTGTAGAACTGCTGTAACTTATTAGTCGATGCTCATGTCATCAGCTAATAAAATATTGGCAGTGTTAACAACTTTTGAAGATCCAGCTAGAGTTTTATTTATTTGGTTAGACCTGCCGGTCATAGTTTTTTTCTGTGGAGATTCTTCTTTATTTTTTGTTGGTGAGCTAAGGCAGCTTCGCAAGTTGTGGTTGTTTTTTTGTGAAAAATTTTGATTTTTTTCTTTTCTTATTTTTTGTGATTTTGGAGAGAGAGAGGGGAAAAGTTTCAACAAAATATACTATTGTCCTATAACCCGTGTGTAAATGAAATGTTGTATAACACATGATGTCAAACAAAAAGTATAAGCGAATATATATACTTAAGAATTTATCTATCTCCCTATCCCTATCTCTATCTCTATCTTTTTCTATATCTCTATATCTCTTTTTCTTTCTCTTTGTTAATCTCTCACTCAAAAGAGGATATGTCAAAAGAAAATATTTTGAAGTTGAGGTACTTAGATAAGTTTGTTACTTTATATTTGGCGATTTGAAGAATACAAGTCTTAAAATCTCGACTATTTTTAGATTATTGGGATCGGGATCCTCTCACTTGGAATGTGAATAATTAGGATTTTTATTTCATTAGAAAACAACTATATTTAGCAATGTCACATTACTCTCACTTGGTCTTGTCTGAAGAAATAATATTTCTGAGGGAAATACATATGGATACTGAACAGCCTGCTAATAAGGTGTCTCAAAGATTACAGAACGAATTGAAAGTAATATTTTATATTTTATTTCATAAATTAAACAGGTAGTGCAAGTGTACTCTATGGCTAATCCAGCAACTATATGTTGAAAAGGTTTTGCCTGCGTGTAAAACTGATAGGTAATGCCAGCGTGTGCGTGGTCATGGAAACGTTTGGTTGGGCCTGCGTGTCTAAACAAGAAATGCTTCACTTGAGCTAAACCCCTTGGCCAGCATGTCATTGGAGGAGAGCTTGCGCATCTGTGGCTTCTTGTGAACTTTCTTTCCCATCTGATTAGAATATTATTATATCTTATCATGTTATTAATTTCTATATACTTTGATATGTAGGTATTTCCAAGAATGAAGAAAACAAGAAAATCTGGAATGTAAGAGATCGAATCGCATCATTAAGTGTGGAATCAGAGTTGATTGACTGGAATCAAATATTAATGAGGCAAATAATTTATTATACTCTTTAATTGTTTTAGGACTTTTCCTTTGGTTCTTATTACTGACTGAACTTGCTTTTTGCAGAAGAGGGGAAGACAAGATGGCCTTCAGATAGCATGACGAAAATTTCAAGTATATACAGATATAGAGTTTGATTCAGTGAAATGAGAACAAAAGAGAATAAAAGCAGATGAAAATAGCAAAGTAGAAATTGAGTATGCCACTTCCATTATCGCTTCTCCCCAACGTGAACCACTAACGCTAGAAAATCAGAAAGGAAATCCTTCAAGCGAGATGGTACTCAGGAGAAAAAAAAGATTAACTATGCTGAATCTTCAAGTTTATCAGATTTTGATAGTTATATAAAAGAATCTAAGTTAAGTTATTGAAATTATTTTTTTACCATTTTATATGCTCACAAATCACCCAATTTAATATTGTTTATACTATTTTGAAATTTATCAAGAATAAAAATGCAAGATCACAACCTGTTCGTGATAACTATAGTCGTGAAAGCATGCTAAGCCCAAAAATTCATTCAGTTACACACATTTTAATAGCAACACCTAATAAACCTATTATTACGAAAGCAACATATGTTGAATATTCTGCACACATAATTAGTGCTTTTAATTCAACGATACATCTTGTCAAGGGAACTATTGAAGAACAAGCATATGAAAAAGTCAAAAACATACTCCAGATGGGAAACAAATTGGTTATAAATGATTTGATAGTCAAAAAGCTCGAAAACATATTTCAAGCAAGTTATTCTGAAATTGAATCTAAAATAATTTCAGAAACAAAGATTGAAGATAATCAAATGACGGAAGAAGATAGGTTTATATTTTTTATATGATATGCATTATTGGACTTTGTCTTCATGTTTAAATATTTGATGCTAAAAGTTCTGGATTGTGACATGCTTGAACGATTTTACATTGTCGAATGTCTGTCACCTATTCTCTGAGCATTTCGCAATGTTTTTCCTGATTTCAAATACATGTGGTTAGAAAAAGATATAAGATTACTCAAAGAAGTAAACAAAATGTTTTTGAGAAATTTGGGGAACGAAAGACAGATTTATTCATTCTCAGATTATCAGATGCAAGTGAGTTGTTAAACGTTGAAGTGTCTAGACCTCCTTATAGATCTACAAAAAAACATATTATTGGTGATGTAAAAAAACTATTAGTGATGGCTATTTGCAGTCTATGTCGACTATTTAGCAATAACCTTGATTATGATATTGGAGATGCAAAAATGTTAAAACTTATAGCATCCAGGTCATAGGAGATCGACTTGCTGTTTCTCTAACAGACAAAAGAAAGTATTTGGCTGTTGAATTGGCGTCTTGCATAATTCCATTTGCGTTTGATGCCATCACATGTTATATGAAGATTTTTAACTTTTTTGCAGTTATGGATTTTGGTAATATTTATATTATATTTTTGCAAATTATATTAGGTTTTTATTATTAATAAAATTTTAATATTTAATAAATTTAATAAATATAATATATCGATTTTATACCAAATTGAGGCCAATTTTAGGCTGATTTATAGTTATTTAAATTCTGAATTGATGCTGAATGATGTTCGAAATGAATTTGTGGAATAAGAAAAATTACAAAGGAAAATTTGTTCCTTTATTCTAACTGATAATTGTTCTGGAAATTTAAGAGAGTACTTATATCTACCAGATGATGACATTTCACTTTTAATAGAAGAAAATCTGGACGAAACCTTTTTGTGATAGTTCATTTATAATGAAAATGTTGTGATCGAATTATTTATAATTTCTTATGTAAAACAAATTTAGACATGGTAGTTATTGTTGCTGTAATGCGTAACTATTAATAAAGTATTTTTAGTCTGCACAATAACTTTTTAGGCTTAAATATTATAAAAGCTTACTAAAATATTGCAAAATTATTATATAATATAATATTATGGTTTTCTATCTATAATACAATCTAATTTGGCAGCAAAATCTGATATAAATAAAATTTTAGATAATAAACAAATCATCTATATCATAAATATATTGCAGGCTAATTTGTCTGCAAACTTCTTAATTTAAATTTTTGTATAGAGATCATTAAAATATAAAATTACAGAAATTCAGAACAACTTATATAAAATATCACAAAATCATAAGCAAATTTGTCAGTAAACTTAAAATTACTAATTACATTATTACTATAAATTACTATCAAATATTAATTTATTCTAGTACATATAATGCAGGTAAATTTGTCTACATGTAACAATTATGTAGGTAAATTTACCTATATAATTTATTGTTTATATATTATTTTATTATATTACACAAAAAAATTGATAATTAAAACTTGACCGTTTTTTTCTTATATACATTTTAAATATCTTTAAATAATATATGAACAAATTAATAAAAGAATATTGAACATTATATTTATCATTTTACTTAAAAGTGAAATTTTGTAGATTAAGATGATAGTTATAAAAATAATTCTAAAAAAGAAAAAATAATAATGAATCACTTGAATTTATACAATTTATATACTTTTAACATATTTATCAATTACATAATGTAAATATAAAAAATTTATCTAAAAACTTAATTTATACATGATTTTTTCTCAATTTTTTTATCTTAATAACTTAAATCTATTATCTAAAATACAAATATTTATACTTATTATCATAGAGTTAAAAGAAATGATTTATTTAAAAGATGAAATTAAAAAAAATTAATTATTTATAAATTAAAATATAGTTGACTATAATCATATATTTAAATGTATTTAAATTTCTATTAGTTGAGAATTATTGGAAAAATAATAAAATTTATCTAAACTATATATAGTATTATAAAATTAATATATTTAGTTTAATTTCAACAAATACAATGTAAAACAATAAAAATTGTGAATTTTTCTATAGAATAAAAATATGCATATCTCAATCAAATCAAATTTGATCTAAATTATGTAAAATAGAATATGATCATCAGATAAGTAAATATATATCTTTTTGTATTACTAATATTAAAATTTTTTTTTCTTTCTCATTATTTTTAATTTTTAAAAAAATTTTCAAAATCAAATCAATTAAAAATAATAATCTCTAAATAAGAAATTAATTGTTAAACAATCTTATAAATATAAAATTAAAGTATTTGAAATACTAAAAAAATCTATCAAAATATTAGAAATTTCTTTCATAATTGTATATAGCTAACTTACTAAAACAGCAAGTTTTCCTATAGTATTAAGAAAAAAAAGGATAAATCAAATGATTAAGATTTCTAATTAGTATTATTATTGATAATGTATTAGCAATACTATGAGTAAATAATAGTTCTGTTACAATATTTAATATTATATAATATAAAAGACCTAGAAGATGAGTTTTTAATAATAAAAAAAGTTAAAAAAATATTTAAAGATTTCTCTTGTAAAATTATACTAATATCTACTACCTACTATTGATGATTATAATTATAATATAAATAGTGTAAATATAACAGATCAATTATAAAGTTACTATTTAACACAATTAACCGTATTCTAAATTTAGATGCTATTACTTTTTTAGGTTTTAGATACTTCAATTATTAATTTGTATATTATTGAAAAAAAACTTAAAAAAATTTAAAATTATAAAAATTTTAGATTAGATTTAATATAGATTAATCAAAGATTTTAAATAATAATAATATAAAAAGAATCATTTATAGTAATAATAATAAACAATTAACTATAGGGATGTTAAGTGGTCCTAAAAGTTCTAAGAAAATTACAAAGAATTATGTTTATAAACTTATTATGAAACTTTATCTATTATAATATTTTAATGAGATATTAAATGAAAATGTATAATAAACCTTCTTAAAATCCCAGAATTTTTTAAAATTTAAAATTTAAGAACTTAAGACTAGTCAGTTCTATATTTAGCAGTCTCATTAAAATTACCAATTTTAAATATTATTTTACTTTTTATAAATTAATTATAAAATTTTTATGATATTTTTTTGATAGAATTATTTATTATAGATAAAATTATTAGATTTTTCTTAAATTAGTAATTTTTTAATTATAAGAACCAATTAAAGACTGTTTAACATCTCTAATTAGCTAGAATAAAAGTGATATTTAATAAAATTTTGGGTTTTAAGTTCATTATTTTTATGTTAATATAATAAATATTATATAGAATACAAATAAATAAAGAAAACTTATCTATAATATTACTATCAACATAAAAAAATACTGAAAAAACTTTACAAAACTTACCTTAATCAAATTATTAATGCATTTGAATGTAATATTGTTATAGAACTAATTATTAAATAACAATTTATTAGAAATTAATTATTCAAAAGTCATTTATTAGATAGCAAAATAATAATTATATAAAATGATATATTGATTAAGGTAAAGTAAATCATGTGATATAGCATAATAAAAGATAGATATTTGTTAGACAGATATGGTTAGAATAGGCAAAATATTAAATTATGTAATCATAATAATATAATTAGTTAAATGATGTAATTAGCCAAATACTTGCAATTAACCATATTTAGATATAAGAAGATGGAATATGAAAGAAACCAGAAAACAGAAACAGAAAATAGAAATAGAAAACAGAAATACAAATAAAAAAAATAACTGAAATCTGGTAGAAAAGTAGAAATTAGCCAGCTTTTTATTATGGCTTGGATGGCTTGATGAAATTTTATAAATATTAGCAGTTTTAGACTAAATAAAGGGAATCAGTTAGTTAGTTTAGATCTACAATTGATAGTTTTATAATAATACAATTAGGAATCTTTGTATTAATTCATTTTTTTAATAAAAACATCTTTATATTAAATAATTATTATTCGTGTATCTTGAGGAATCAACAGTTTAGAAACAGGTTTAATGAACTAAAAGAAATAATATGATTCGCCCTAATTTCAAGTAAGCTTATTAACTTGTATCTTACTGTTTGATATCCTTAGGAATGATATGTTTAAATAAACCAAGCAGTAGCAACATTCCATTATGTTGCAATAAGAGTGCTTTAAGGATTTTCATAATTTTGAAGAATAAATTAGTATTTTTTTGCTACATATGAAATTGAAACTATACTTATCAAATTAAAATGTTATTAATATATTAATAAAAACTGGTAGCTTTACAAATTTTCTTAAAGTATAAATAACACTTTTATTTGCAAAGAAATTTATGTATACAGTATAAATGAAAAATTATGCAAATTTTTGATTTAGTTTGTAGTAAAACTTCATTTATTTTTTGTTTAAATAAAAAAAAAATATTACTAGCGTAAAATCCAAGTTCCAAAAATATATTGATCGTCATGCCCGGACTTTACCATGGTTTCCGAAACCGTTTTCTAGTGAATTAGTGTTATGAAAAATACCAGGACTTTACTTAATATGGATTTATCAGTAATGATAGGTTTAAAGTAGGCGACTAAAAAAAAAAAATACCATAAAAAAATATTGATCGGATTTGGTTTGTTACACAAAAAAGATTAAGTAGCTTTAATATGATATTACTATTATTCTATGAATTGTCTTTTTGTTATCATTGATTTGAATTTTTGAAACGTAATTATTACATCAATTAAGATTTTCGTTTGAAATTTAATTAAACAATTAAATTAGTTTGCGCCGATATCATAATGAATCAAACAAAATAAATTTCTTTTTCCCCCATTTATTTCCGTGTCTTTTAGATTTTAGATTTGTATAAAAGACCCTTAAAGGTACATTATTATATTTTATAAATTTACAAACGTATCACAACTTTTTTTTTTGTCAGAGCCGACTTATTTGATAAGTCCCGTGACACTACAACAAAAAGAACGAAAGAACTTATTTTTCCTTTTACTTTTTACTTGTTACGTTATTCAACTATTTATTAATGGAGGGTCATCCTCGTGAAACTTCAGCAAATGATAACGAAGTTGCAAGTATAACGAGGTCTACTACACAATCATCTGAACATTCAATATCCTTACCAAATACTTTAGTAACGAATAGTGGTTCAAGTTTCCACAACATGGATAATGACAATTCTAATAATTCTAATGAACAAACTTCACCTGGATCCAGAGGACAATCAAGAGCAGTATTATCTTCAGTTTTTTCTTCTGGACCAACTTCTTCCTTTGCTACGACGTCCGTAAGGGCAACTGCAGCAGGTTCAAGACGGGTCAGACGGAATTGGTGGGGGTATATTGTTGATAGCTTTAGATCTATATCTAGAACTTCCAAGATGTTATTAATTCTAAATTTAATAATGGTTCTTATTCAGGTATGTTTATTTTATCAAACAAATTTGGTTTCAAACATATTGTAAACTTAACCAACCTTTGTTCAAATAATTTCTTTTTAAAAAAAGGTTGTTGTAACTATAGTAGTTCTTGTAATTTCACGTAATCTAACATGTGATAGGCCATTAGAGGTGTTTCTTATGTTGTATATTGTTAGGGTAATAGTTGCATGTCCAGTCAATGTATATTTATATTTAAATCCTAGAGATAACAGACGAAATGGTCAAAATCAAAATGAAAATGAAAATCAAAGAAGGGATGGATGGGTTGATCGGTGAGTAATTACCATTATAATTATATATATAATTATGATTTATTTATTTTTTTTTTTTAAAAAAAAGAAAACGAAATAATTTTAACAATTTTTTTTTTTATAATGTAAAAATAATAGACTAAAATCTTTTCTCGATCTCTTTGCTACTTTATGGTTTATTTTTGGCAATTACTTACTATTCACCACCTCATCATGTCACCTAACTTCACCACCAGTTTTTTACCTTTCTTTAACATGGGTTATCCTCGGATACATTATTATTACAATCCCAATATTATTATGTTTGGCTGTTATATTTTGCCTGCCGTGCGTATTGGTAGCAATGAGGGTGTTAAATGTTAGTGAAGCGGTTGGAATTAGTGGTGCAAGAGATGATGTTATTCAAAAGATACCTTTGGTGAAATATAAAGCATCTGGGGAAAGACATGAAGGACAACAATCACCTGATACTGTTATAACCATACCACCACCACAAATCCCACCTATGACACCACAACCATCGTCAACACGTAAAAAACCTCGATTTAAATTCCTTTTCGGCAGAAATAGCAAAGGAACATTAACCAATTCACCCCCAACAGTTTCACAATATCTTACCATTCCAAATTCTGATGATGCTGTTTGTTCAATTTGTTTAGAATCTTATGAAGATGGTGAAGAATTAAGACATTTATGGTGTTCTCATCACTTTCATAAAGATTGTGTAGATGAATGGCTTAGATTAAATAAAAAATGCCCAATGTGTCGCGAGGATGTAGAAGAAATGGCAGAACGGAATAATAATAATAAGAAGGGGAAAATTGCTAGTAATAATGATGATGATGATAAGAATGTTATCGGTGAAGGTAGTAGCAGGGTTGATCACACTTCAAATCCGTCTGAAGTTGAAGCATCTATATCTTCACATATATAAAAATATATTCATGAATCATTTACAATTTTTTTCATCCTTAATTTGATAGTTCATGTGCAGTAAAATTTTTTTCTCCGTGAATTAAATTTTAACTGAACATTAACTTTCTTATTATACTTGCATGTAATTATACTTTTATTTGTAAAGTTTTCCTAGCTTTTATGTAATTTATTTGATAAACAAAAAAAAAAACCAAAAAAAAAAAGAAATATGAAATGAAAAGAAATATTTGGTGGCAAATAAATCACGAAATTACGGAAAATGATAATTTTATCATGATTCAATTATTCGTATCATAACCATTATTGAAATCCTTTTTTTTTTTTAAAAAAAAAAAAAAAAAATGCTTGCTCGCTTTATTTAGCGTTAGCAAATCTGTCAGCAACAGTTTTCCAGTTGATAACTTCCCAAATTGCTTTCAAGTAATCAGGTCTGGCATTCTTATACTGCAAATAATATGCCTACAAGATTTTTTCAGAAAATGAAAATTATGTATATGTTTAAAGTAAGAGTATCAAAGAAATGATCTTGAATATAACATACGTGTTCCCAAACGTCAATTCCAAGTAGAGGTACATGAGCTATTGGAACATAAAGAAAATTATTAATATATACATTTTTTTTTTATTTAAAGAAAGTATTAAGAATAAAAAAAATATATCATAATTCTACTTGTTAACGGATCTTGATTTGGGAGAGTCACAATTTCAAGACGTTTGGTTGATTTATTATAACCCTAAGAAAGGAAATGTATTTTAGCACAGAAAATTTTCATTTGACTTGATTTTTTTTTTTTTCCAAATAATACATTACCAACCAACCCCATCCAGAACCTAGATGAGATAAAATGTCAAATTAATATTCTTTTTTATAGATATTATATAATTTAAAAAATTAATTGAAAGGATGTATGAATCAAACCTTGAACAGCGGCCGTTTGAACGTTGAATTTCTTAATGAAGTCCTCAAGTGATCCAAATTCATCTTTAATCGCTTTCAAAAGATCACCTGTGGGAAAAAGAAATCAGGCACGTGAATTTAAGTTGAAAAAATCTCAAAAACTTGTTGAGATAATTGAGATAATGAATGTACCCTTTGGAGGTTCGCCACCATCTCCTTTCTTTGGAGCGAGATTTTTCCAAAAAAGAGAATGATTAATATGTCCTAAATTAACAAATCAAATTAGATTTAATCTTTGAAAATGATCAAACAAAATCAATCAATCTTGACACTACCTCCCCCGTTAAATTTCAATGCAGATTGTATCGCGATTTGTGTGGTAACATCCTTTCCTTTAAAGGCATCCTCGAGTTTTTCTTCGGCTTGGTTTAATCCATTAACATAGGCCTGATGATGCTTAGAATGATGAATTTGCATTATCTCCGCAGAAATAATGGGTTCAAGAGCCTATAATAAGAAAAAGAATTTTTTATTTATTTAATCTTTTTGCAAATCATCCAGAATTTATTTGGAATATATTTCACTATTTGCATTTCACTTTTTGCATTAATGAATTCGAAAAATATTTACATTGTAGTCATAAGGAAGGTCCGGAAGCGTGTATTTTGACCTTTTAACAATAAGCCCAGAGGAACTACCTCGAGTTAAAGTCGAAGTATAGATATTTTTCAAAGCGCGTGTTGGAGTTGCTAAGCGGAGCATTTTGTTGAAAAAGACCTATGTATAATTTGATCCTTGGGAATTTGGGTCGCATAAACTTTATCGAGCATGTTACACAATTCCCACTTTTCAACTTTAGGTTAGATAGGTTCTAATATCATGCTCAAAATCCATTTATGGAGTAACCACTAATTCAATGAATAAATTGTCAATGATAATTCTTTATTTGAATTAGAAATGACAATCAAGAAATTTTGTTCATGGCAAATATTTTAGATTTTCAATGATTTTAAACCTTTTTTTTATTTTATACGATGCGCAGTATGAAATCAAAATTATGAATAAAAAAATTTTACAATAAAATTATAAAATTATAATCTCTATTCATAATTTAAATAAGATTTTACTTTTTACATCAAGTTTATAATTAAATGATAATAAAATTTTTTTTTTTAACTTAAATCTCGGAATTCGACAAGTTGTTCGTTTTTGGTTTGTGCTAAAATATTAATTAGAATGTAAGTACAATCAATAATATTAGAATTAAGATGAGTTTGATATACGTACTTTCTGACACTACAACATAACCACCACCAACTTCACAGTCTTTCAATACAGATTTTTCCATTATTTTGGAGCCGTTACAAACAACACATCCATCCAATTTAACACTATTAAATGAAAGCAATCAGTAAAATAAGGAATCGGAAATAAATAAGAAGATCATATCAACTTACTAATCTTCGATGATAATATTATCCATTAAAACAGAATTTGAAATCTTGACATTTTTGCCAATAATACAATGTGACCCAATAGTTGAACGTTTTATAGATGTGCGTTCATCAATTTTAGTGTCATCACCTACAAATGAATCCGATCCAACCTTTTTTTAAAAATTAGCAATAATAATTATTAATTAATTATTAAGAATAATCTTAAAGAATGAATTATATCTCACTTGAGTCTTGGTGTTCACTTCTGCTGACGGAGAAACGCGTGTTTCAGTGCTAATTTTCATCATCTTTAAAATTATTCAATACTTCAACAGGTTAGAAAATTTTATGAATGTTCAACATACAAAAAGTTAAATGGAAATTCAACATACGTAACGATTCAAGTCACAATATTTCGCTACAGTGTTTCCACGTCCGCAAAATCCAGTATTATATATGTAAACCTGACAGCGAACAGGTGAATCCTCATCCTCTTCATCCCACGTAGTAGAATATTCAAGAGCGGTTTTCTGATAATTTACTTGTGATTTAGCCACTAGCATTATGATTTTTAAGAAAAAAAATGTTAGATACACATTAAATGATCAAAATAACATAATGTCATAAAGATCAAAAGCCTTACAATTATCTATTCCCTCCCTTTCTAATAATTTCTTCTGATATTGACATTTTACAAGTAATGGGACTAAATGTTCTCGAACACTAGAAATTGATTTTCTCTGTACAATTAAATCGATTACCCATTTCTTAAAAATATAAAGATGAGAATCTTGTAAAGTAGTAAGTATGTTAACGCGTGGAAACCTAGAATTAAATTCCAAAATGAGTATACCACCAGGGAATCATCCTTATTATAAGAGTTATTATTTCAAAATACACGTACGCACTTCCATAACAGTGACATACGCAATGAAAATTCTTCATCCAAATCCGCTCCGGAAGCAACATATACAAGGCGTGATCGATTCATGTCAACACCGACAAATTGCTTCAAATCTTTTGAATTAACCGTCAAAACTCCATAAGAATAATAAATGTAATTTAAAACATTAAAATACAAGGAAAAACTTACCATCGTCCTTACAATTATTACCACTTCCTCCACCACCATCTGACTTATTAGGTTCATAAAACAGTGCTGTAAAAGCAGGTTCTTGTGTACGATGATAATCCAAAAATCGGTGAGGAGGTAAATCAAGAATCAAATCGCAGCTTATTACAATGAAATCGTTCTAATTTAAAAGGTATGAATTATAAATGCAAATGCAAAAAGTCCTTTAATGAAATAAAAAAAAAATTTTTTAAAGTACCCTAATTTTATCCTTAATTGTTCTCAATGCATCCGCAGTTCCTACATCCTCTTTCACTATTTCTAAACTTGGTTTCAATTTTCCTTCATAGTCATTCTTAATATAATGACCAATTTTATGTTCTCCACTTGATTCCGAAATGATTATTACATCTATTATTTAAATTATTAATTGAAGAGTAATATAAAAAACCATTGATAAAATTAATTTAATTACCGGTAATCCCAGCCCTTTCCAACCAATCTAAAACATAGTGTAACATCGGTTTATTAGCTACTGGAAGCAAAGCTTTAGGCACATTATTATCCTCGGTAAGCGGATAAAGCCTATAGATACAAGTTTCTCCTTTTAAGAACAATTCAGGCGAATAAGCAGTACATGAAAAATAAATATATATATATATACATACTTGTTTCCGTAACCACATAGAACGATAGCTTGAAATTCAGAATATCGTTTTTGCTTGCTTTGTTTCTTGTCCGATTCGAATAATAACATTTTTCTTAAAAAAAAAAAAAAAAAAAAAATTGAAAATATATAACTTTGACAAAAATTCAATATTTGATATTTGATAATCTTGCATGGTACTAATTTGGTAATTTGGTATAACCTAATAACGTAATAACGCGAATGATTTTCATTTTATTTGATACTATAAGGTTCGCATGTTAACAAAAAATATACAATTGACACAACTTTATATTATATGGCATCGGATCATTTCGACATTTTCAAAATGTAAAAAATATTAGGTGAAATTATCCATATGCTAAAACCAAAATTGTATAAATGCTATTATATCATTAACGCAGATTTCTATTAGTAAGAATAAAATTGTTCTAATTTTCCGGTCCTTCGCCACCGGGAATGAGCTGTTAAAATAAAATAAAATAAAAAATTAGATCCAAGGAAAGTTAATTATAGAATAGATGGCTGCACTTACCATAGTTATGTTATTCCCGTTCAACAGGATCTTGTCAAGTTTTGTAGTCTTGCGGCCTTCTGGCGTATTTTCACTAGAATTCCCAAAAAATATAAACTAGAAATCTATTTGCGTCCATTTAAAATTAGAATCAATTGAATTCACTTACTATTCTGTTACATCCTCTAACACCATATCTGATTTTATCATTTAATGTTAAAGATCGTAATAAATTATAAAAACTTAAAAAGAAACGCGATAATTCAAAAGGATACTGACGTAGTCGTCAAAACCCAACAACGTTCCGGTAAATTCTCGTTCACTTTTCATAATAACCCAAATTTTAGAACCAATGCATTTGTCAATTAGTTCTATAATATTAAGTAAATATACATTTAGAAAACTATAAAATAAAGAAAAAAGTTCAAATGTTAAGTTGCCCGGTACAGTGAACATATATATATAATGCATACCAAGCGGAAGAAGCTGATTTGTAGCAGACATTGCCATTGTATAAAAATTTTAAGAATTTAGCTTGTTCAAAATGGACAATCTTTTTGATAGTAGGTTAAAATGGGTTGGTGGTTACACAAAAATAGATGAAATAAAATCCGAAATTTTTTTTTTTTTTTTTTTTTTTTTAAGAATTTTTAAAATGTTTTATGAACTCCTTTGTATATCTAGAGCTGGTTTGATGGAGGTAAATATAAATTACTACCATTAAAAACCATTCCCAAATCTAATTTAATATATTACTATAAAAAGGCAAACTTTAAAGACCTTGTTCGAAAGTCGGCTAAACTTGTTCTGGAACGAGGTGGAGTTGTGAGAGGGTTTGAGAATTGGGGAGAAGTTTCATTACCAACAAGAACACGGAGACACCAAGAGTACCACGATCGTGGACAGTACGTTAATTATTATATATTTGTTTTGAAATATTTTTTAAAAATTAATGTTTTATACTTTGTTTTAAAATAAAGCTTTTGGTTAATGCATTTTGACACCAATCCGGTTGTAATATCTGAACTACGAAAAATGTATAATAGTGATCCTCGTGTTATTCGAGGAAATGTAATTAAACTTGGTGAAAAACTTGAAGACATAGTACACAGACCTGATAAGACTCATTAAAAAAATATTATTATATAACCAAGTTCATAAGTTTTCAAAAAGGCTGATATCAAAAAAAAAAATTTTTGATAATTATTTTAGGAGCAAACGTGCAGAGAAGGTTACGAATTGACATTGTCAAAAAACGTTTATCAATAAATTAAAAAATTTCAATCTCAAAGAAAAGAGGATTTAAAAAAATTATTTTTTTAGAGCAAGTATTACTAATTTGACAAAACAAAAGAATAAACAAATATAGTATAAAGCAAATTGATCAGCTTTGAGAAATAAGAAACAAATAGAATTTATTTATTTTAAATTTAAATATTTATTTATTTATTTATTTATTTTCAAAAAGTATCTCAATCTATTATTATGAATTATAATAGGATTATAAGAAAATTAGATCTTAAAGAATATTTTTTGGTATTTTGAAATACAAATAAAAATCTTAAGATTATTAATAAAAAAGATTTATATAATAAAATATTAAAATAAATCAATACAAATCTAAATTAACTTATAATTTAATTATCAAATAATATTTTTCAAATTGAAGTAAATTAACAATTTTTTTTTAATAATAAATCATTATAAAAATACTTAATAAATATAAAATAGTTATATTATTATAATATAAAAATAAATTTTTAAATAAAAAAAAAAAAATGTTATAAATTTTTTAATACTTTTAAAATTGATTTATTAAATTAAATCATATTTTAAATTAATTTTTAATCTTTAATTAAAATTATTTATCTGATTATTATTTTAAAATTTAAATTTTTAAAATCATTGATTTATTATTTACCTAAATATTAAACAAAAAAATGAAGATCTGATCAGAAAATGTATTTGGATCGATTATATCAAGAGAAGCTTATTAATCTTACTATACCAGTGATGGCAAATGACTAGGTCATTTGACTAATTTTCAAATGACCCGAAGTCATGCTGAAATGACCGGTCATTC